GACTGTCATAAGCTGATGGTTAGCAGATTTATTGACTAATGGTCACATTTATCTTTTGTGGGCAGTTAGCCATTAACTGTTTATCTTATAGATAGTGTGTCCGGAATGTCTTTTTTGAGTACACAGATGGCTGGGTAATAAACTTAGGAATTTTGAGTGGATAAGCACAAATTTGAGAGAACAAAGGAGACAGCTCTAAAATGGAGTCACTCTGGCTCTATATTCCCCCCTTCTCATGGTGTTATAGAGGGCCAATTATGGGCCTCTGGGGGTTAATTTTGTCAAATCAATAGGTATTGGCTGGTATTGGGACCTGAGTACCATTAACTGAACAGCGTTAATTTGTTTTTTAATGAACGAAACTAGTCTATTAAGTATGTAAGGTCTAAAGGTTAATAGTAGCAACACGATAAGCAAGGGGCCCAACAGGGTAGAAATTAGGGTAGTGAGCCAAGGGGAAGAATTAAACCAAGATTTGAACCAGGTTTGAGATTGTTTTTTTTTTTGTTTATGTTTGGTGATGTCTTTTTTAACTTTAGTCATGGATTTTTTGACTATTTTTGAATGATCTATATAGAAACAGCATTTTTTATCTAGTGTAACACAGAGTTTTTTTTGTTGAAGGAAAATTAAGTCCAGCCCCCTTTGGTTTTGGAGGACTATCTCTGTTAGTGAAGTTAAAGACTCTTGGAGGTGGGAGATGGAGTTTTTTAGTCTTTTAATATCTATATCTATGGCTGTCCTTAAGTCATTATAATATTTATTGTGTATTAGTAGTGATGAAACTTTTGTTTTTGTCTCAGCTAGTTTTAATTTTAAGAGAACGGTCAAAGTAATGGCCGTTATAGGTTTTTGTTTAACTCTGACCTGGGTTTTAGCCAGGCGGCTGGGGATGTCTTTTTTTGAGTGATATAACAACCGGGGGACTAATTGTACAAGTACACAGAAATCTCTTGTTTGTTTTAACATTAGTCTATGTACACAAGGGGTAAGTTTAGAGGAACAGGCCCACCACCCGTCATAAGGGGGAATGAGATATTTAGGCCTAGGTCTAAGGATGGTTTTGTTATAAAGGTGTTGGTGGGAGGCCGGGACACTGTGACACAAGTTTTTTGTCTAGTTATCGATTGTAGGGTCAGCCTAGTTGTCTCTTTTTGTTGTTATCTACATTGAGTCGGGCTGTCTGACTTAGTGAAATTGTCTAGATAAGCTACTGTTTTATAGTATGGGGGCTTAGTATCATAACATAGCCAGCAGGACTGAGTGAGGTCTGGCCTAGATGTATTTAGGGCTTTAAAGGTGTGAACCATCAGTTTTTAAAGGGGGTCTTGGTTTCGGTTATGATTGACTTTATCAATCTGGGTGATCATTTGAATCAAGGGCGGGGATGTGGAAGTGGAGGTTAAGTCTGATGGCCGTACGGAGGCGTTTGGTTTTGGTGACATAGGCGAGCTTTTTGGGGGAGGGGGTTTAATAGGTCTGAAAGGGGTTATTGGAGCTAGCGTCAAGTTTGGTCTTATCAATTGGGGAGACCCTATGGTGAGTGGCTCTGTCTTTAGTTTTATAGTGAATAACAACCCGGTATCATAACCATCTTGATATAGACGGAGTCTCTAAGTCTGGCCTGTTTTTTATTTAGTGTACCTTTTATCTGAATCTGTGAATGAAAGTCTGACCGGGTTACAGAGGAACCCGGTACAGGGGCCACTAAGAACTAAGAAATTACCACCCTTTTGATTTGTCTGCAGGCCAGGGGGCCCAGGGACTCTTTTTAAAGAAATAAAATCGTCTTTGACAGGCGGGGCCCAGGAGACGGTGTCTGTGGACTTACATCTTTATTTGGCACAATAGAACTGGTCAGGTCCCCCGCACTTGTTTATCTGAGACTGTGTGTGTCTTTTTTTCGGACAAACATAAAAGGGGGTGTTTTGTAGGATGTTTTTATCAAGAGAATGGCTACACCCAGGGTCAAGTCTAGGAGGGGCCATGGGTACTGGAGCCATGGGCAGGGATGTTTTATTAGTATTATATTGGCCTATGTCTTTTTTATATATTGGCTCTTTTTTAGGCCCGATTTTTTAGTTTTTAGTGTTTTAAGTCTCTGTGGCGAGTGAATATAGGTCAAAGTCTAGGTCTGGCCACCAGGTAAGTGGTGGAGCCACTTTGGATGAACTGTTAACAATGTTGTCTGTAGACGTATTAATGATCATCTAGGTTAAATTTAAGGGAGCATATGGGTTTTGTCTTTTTAGTGTCGGTGTCAAAAGTACAGTTATTATAATCACGATCGTCGACGACGTAGCTTGAGTTTGAGGGGACTGTCTTGGTCTCTGGACACCTGTCATGATGGAACGAAGTCTTTTAGGACAGTGTGAGGATCTGTAGGGTGAACGTGGGTGTAGTGTATCTATGAAGCAATCCCGTCGACCTTGAGAGCAGTGGGCGTGGTCAGGACTGTGACGTAGGGTTTTTTTTAACGGGGCTCAAGGTCTTTTTGTCGGTGTCTCTGAACGAAGATCTAGTCTCTAGGTCGGTAGTGATGGGGCTCAGGAGGTGGTCTGGTCTGGTATAAGGCTTTTAACTTAGGCCAGATGTCTTTGTGTACACTTTGGAGGCTTTTTAAAGAAAGTAATAACTTTTGGTTATTAAATTTAACAAGTACATTTGAGTGAAGGTTGGGGATAATGGGAGGGGGAATTTTAAACATGATTTTAAAGGGGGTCAACCCCATTTTATAGGGTGAATTGTGTACCCTATAAAGGGTGAAGGGAAGGAGAGTCACCCAGTCACCGCCAGTCTCTAAGGTTAATTTAGTTAAGGTCTCTTTTAAGGTTTTATTTATCTTTTTTATCTGTCTTGAGTTTTGGGGTCTGTATGTATAATGTAATTTTTAATCTGTCTCTAACACCTGTGTTAAGGTTTGACTCACCTTGGAAATGAAGGTGGGTCTATTATCTGATCTTAGCATTATTGGAAAACCGTATCTTGGCAGGATGTCTTTTAGCAGCTTTTTAGTCATACTTTGTGTTGTCTCGTGTTTGGTAGGAAACGTTTTTGTCTATCTTGAAAAAGTATCTATGAAAACTAACAAGTATTTATAACCGTACTTTTTAGGTTTTATCTCGGTGAAGTTTAATTTTTAATAGGCTCTAGGTCGGTTTTTTTTTAGCCTATTTTTTGGGTTGGCCCTATTGTGGGTGGCATTTGTCAATTGACAGGTTTTGTAGGTAGTAACAATATGTTTAATTGTAGAATTAGCATCACGGATCTTAATTTTAGCATGTTTTAGGAGATTTTGTATTTTTTGAGTGTCTATGTGGGTGGTCTGGTGTATCTTGGAGAGAACTTGTTTTTTCAGTGTTTTAGGCAGGATGACTTTATAATCAGAAGATTTTTATCACCCGTTGAGGTACTGGGGCGTAGGTAATTGTTTTATTTAATTTAAGTCTTTTTTAGTGTATTGGGGTTTTTTTGGTAGGGCTGTACTTTTCGGATCGGGCAGCTGAGTGGCCAGTGTCAGATCAACCTTTAAAGCTATTTTTTGGGCCGTCTGGTCAGCTAGATTATTTTCTCTGGCAATTGGAGTGTCGTCCTTCTGGTGTCCTGGGCAATGGATAATGGCTAATTTTTTTGGTAGCCAGAGGGCTGTTAAGAGGGCAAGGATTTTTTTTTTGTTTTTAATAGTCTTTTTTTTAGCTGTCAAGAGTCCCCTTTTTTTGTAGATGGCCCCATGGACGTGTGTAGTGGCAAAGGCATATCGGCTATCTGTGTATATATTTAACTTTAGGCCCCGTCTTAAAGTCAATGTCTTGGTCAGGGCTATGAGTTCTGTCTGTTGTGTTGAGGTCTCGGTGGGTAATGGTTTTGTCTAAATGACTTCAGTTTTTGTCACTACAGCTGTCCCAGCATACCTGTGGCCCTCACGAACAAAGCTGTTTTTATCAGTGTACTAGGTGTTGTCTGTGTCTGACCATGGTTGGTCACTCAGATCTGCTCGAATTTTGTGTATCTGGGCCAGGATGTCTGTGTAGTCGTGAAGCGGAGCCTTTAAGTTTGGGTCTGGCAACAGTGTGGCTGGGTTTAAAGCAGCCGGGGCTTGAAAGACAACTTGGGTTGGATTTAGGAGTAAGCTCTGGTAGTGGGTCAGGTGAGCATTACTGAGCCATCGATCTGGAGGCTGTTTTAGGACTTTTTTAATGGCGTGAGGGGTGGTCACGTATAGTTTTTGGCCTAATGTCAACTTGTCAGCGTCTTTGACCATTAGAGCTACTGTTGTAATCATTTTTAGGCACGGGGGTCATCTTGACGCAACTGGATCAAGTCTTTTTGATAAGTATGTCACTGGGCGGCGCCATGGCCCTAGATACTGGATCAGGACGTCCTTAGCGACTCTTTTGTTTTTATCAATGTAAAGGTGGAATGGCTTAGTAATATCAGGCAAGCCCAAGGCTGGTGTCATCAGCAAGGCTGTTTTAATTTGATCGAAAGATTTTTGTAGCTTTTTTGTCTATTGAAAAGCCTGACTGTCTCTAGTTGTCTCGTAGAGGGGCTTTGTGAGCTCTGTGAACCCTGGTATCTATAGGCGGCAGAAGCCCGCCGATCTCAAGAATTTTTTGACTTTTTGAGGGGAATCTGGTGTGGGTATCTTAAGAACTGTCTCTTTTTTAGCATCTGACAGCCATCTCTGCCCTTTTTTAAGTACGTACCCCAGGTAGTTTATCTCGGGTTTGTAGATCTGGGCCTTTTTAGCGGACACCCGATATCTCAGCTCTCTTATGACCATCAAGAGTCTTTTGGTTTTATTTAAGCAGTCTTTTTGTGTCTTAGCTGTCACAAGAAGGTCATTTACATATTGTAACAGAGTTAGTTGGGGGTTTTGGAGGTGAAACTCACTCAGGTCTTTATGTAAGGCCTCGTCGAAGATGGTGGGAGAGTTTTTGAATCTTTGAGGTAATCGGGTCTATGTCAGCTGTCTGTTGATGTCTTGTTTTGGATCATTTTATTTAAACGTAAAGATGTGTTGGCTTTTAGGTGTCAGTGGAAGGCTAAAAAAAGCATCTTTGAGATCTAAGACCGTGTATCAGTGATGGCTCGGGGGAAGAGAACTCAATAGGGTGTATGGATTAGGCACTGTGGGGTGGATGTCTATAACCCTCTTGTTTATCTCTCGGAGGTCCTGTACTGGCCGATAGTCATTAGAATGAGGTTTTTGTACTGGCAACAAGGGGGTGTTTTAGGCCGATTGGTAGGGTCTGAGAATCTCTTGAGCAAGTAACCTCTTGATGTGTGGAGTTATTTTTTTCTGGGCCTTTAGGGGCATAGGATATTGGCGAACTCGTATCGGATCTGTTTTAGGTTTTATTTTTATAAACACCGGTGTCTTGTGTATAGCTAGTCTCATGTCTTTAGTTTTTGTCTATGTTTGTGGGAACATGGAGAGCCATTGTTTTATATCAGGATCAGGAGGGGCCCTCTTTTGATGTAGTAGATATTTATCTTTTAGGTTTATGGTTAGTATCTGAATGGGCCTTTTTTTTTGATTAAGGACTTTTGTGTCCCCGGGTTGGAAATGAATTTGAGCCCCTAATTTAGTAAGTAAGTCTCTTTTTAATAAGGGGTAGGGGCAGTCTGGTATAACCATAAATGAGTGGGTTATTTGGCCCACTCTCAAGTCTACTGTTTTTTGGGTTGTTTATGAATATTTTTTTATGTCTGTAGCTCTTTGGACCCAGGATGTTTTATCAGAAATATGGCCACACGGTTTGAGTAGGACTGAATGTTGAGCCCCTGTATCTACCAGGAACTCAATAGGTCTCCCCTCCACTTTTAGGGTTACCCTGGGCTCGGGGAGGGGTGTCGAACCCCGTCTTCCCTAATCATTTGATTTATCTGCAGCCAGAATAGGGGTTTTGGGGCGTCTTTTTTGTTGTTTTTTTTTAGGACAGTCTCTGGCCCAGTGTCTGTATTTTTTGTAATAAGCACATTGATTTTTTTTTAACTGGGGGCGCTCTCTGCGTCTTTTTTTGTTTTTTTTTTTTATCACAATCTTTTTTAGTCTATGTTTATATTTTTTTTGTTTTTCTGTAGTGGCAGCCAGAAGGATCTGAGTTAAGTTTTGGGTCTGGCGGTTATCAGCTTTTTTTTGGTTTTTTTTTGTGGTTTTTTTATTGTTATATATTTTTTTTGTCACTGTCACTAAGTCTTGAATATTTTTTTTTTTAACTTATCTATTTTTTGTAACCTTTTTTTAATGTCTGGCGTCGTCTGGTTGACAAAATGTATTATTATAGCTGTCTTTGTCTCAACTGTTTTTGGGTCTATAGGAGTGTACCTATGAAAAGCTTTTTGAATTTTTTTTTTAGGAAAGCAGCAGGGCTTTTATCTAACTTTTGTTGTATATCTCTTATCTTAGCCAAATTGGTGGGCTTTTTTGTCGCTGTTCTGAGACCTCTTAATAAAGTCTGGCGATAGACTTGAAGTCTCTCTTTACCTTTTGTCGTGTTGAAGTCTCAGTTAGGTCGGGACAGAGGAAAAGAAGTGTTGATGGTGTCTGCATTGGTGGTGGGCTGACCACTGTCACTAGGAACCAATTTTTTGGCCTCATTCTGGATTTTTTCTCGTTTTTCAGTGGTGAACAGGACCTGCAGAAGCTGTTGACAGTTATCTCAAGTGGGCTGATGGGTAAACAAAACGGTTTTTAACAGGTTAATTAAATCTCTAGGGTTATCAGAAAAATTGGCGTGTTGTCGGCGCCAATTATAAAGATCACTGGTAGCAAAGGGCCAGTAATGATGAGGCTGGTTT